TAGAATATTTGTGACAGCCTTTATAATGGGGAAGTTGGTTAGAGGTGTGGCATTCTGTTTTGTCAGTTTGAAAAGGAGCACAAGCTCTCTAGGGAGAGAACCAGCCTCTCGAAAGCTGTGTAACCATTGTATTCTTCTTTTTCTTTACTCAATTCAATAAGAAAGCTACCGACAACAATCAATTTGCATCATATACATCGCATTTACATTAGGACAAAAGGTATCATCCCAACTGATAAAATATGTTAATGCTACAAAACAAACCACAAGCATCGCCTTCGAGATCAGGGCCCAGTTTCTAAACCATAAGAATCCCTCCTTCCCAAACCAGAGAAAAAAAGGGAGAACACTTTGCATCCAAACCCTTTGAATTGAAGGTTCACAACTAGACATAAAAGATAAAGGTTTTGAAAAGTGAGATCTGTTAGTTTCTTTAGCACGTGGTACAAGCATGGTTGTCCTTTGTTGACACTTGAGCAGCTGTCTCTTATGAAGATAATATCACAAGGCATTGGCTTAGCCTGTGTATGCACTATGAAGCTATCCCATATTGGTGCATACCTCTTTCACCGTCAGACTTGTATGTTAGTTTCTTTCTAACCATGTTCACTGGTGTGGATGAATGTTACCAACAGAGTTAGCTAATATGGCATCAATTTCCTATTAGAACACATAAATAGCTAAAATTCAATCATCTTTGTGATGAATATGCCTAAAAACATTCATTTTAATTTTCCATTTATGTTTATCAAAATCTATAGTCAGTTACTCACCTGGTTCTAATCAGTCAAATGTTCATTTGGTCATTTGACTTTTTAATTGGTCAAGTAACTGATACAAAATTCCAACAAATCAAATAAACAAGAAAACAGTCTCAATCATTTTGAACCTATGAGTATCTGAATCAATAGAACTTACTTGCAAATATGCCAGATATGCATCTATGATGTCCTCAAATGTACTTTCTTTATCCTCCATTAGCCTGCATGGTGACATAAAGGCGTATATGAATATCTGCTCATTGAGGTAATGCAACATTCATACTTCAAGTCGAATTCTGTAGCATGACGGATGCAACCATAAAGCACGGGAAAATGCCAAATAAGTTGTAGACATTAAAGATGTAAATTGTTCAGTCCATTCCCTATACAAGTGCACATCAGACTTTAATAGCAAAACAAACTAATCAGCAGATTCAGATTCTCTGATTTAGAGGGGGAAATGGTGCAGCTACATTCAAGTAAAAGTACCACAAATATAAACTATTGGTGTCGGAAAAGTGAAAAAAAAATCAATACTCGAGTCTTCCAGTAGTCTGACCATACTGAGCACAATTACTTGCAGGATCTCCTCTTGGAACCATAAGGATAATTATTAACAGTAAGAGAATTCCTAACTAACTAAAAGTAACAGCTATAAACAGCTAAAATGTGCATTCAGACAAAATAATCTGTATCTGTTGAGAATAGAGATCATAGGTAATAAAAATAGAAGTTCACCGGGAAATACAATGTCATGAACAATATAAGAATAGCATATTTTAGCTATAATTCTAAGTCAGTGCTTCATGCCAGGTCATCTTGCTTCATGCCATGATGACACATAACAAAACGGTGTAAAATATAATTTATGTTACTTCAAAAATTGCATCGAATACTTACGCCTGGTAATAATTGCTCTGTTTAAGCGCATATATCTCAAAAAGATGTCGCGGATTGGACCCAAGTACCTCAATGATCAAATCCCACTAGAAGTTGAACAAACAAGATGGATTAGTTGTTAAAATCCAAACAAGTCTACAACCGAAGCTTTATATAATAGCACAAAAAATTGTCAAAAGAGATCAATATGAATTACCTCTGACTGGCTAAAATAATCTGGAACCATATGTATTTTGGCTTGTTGTGGAGTCCATCCAAATGTCTGCAAGGTGCAATGAGTTATATAGTTTTCAAGGATACTGGGAATAAGCTCCTCCTCTAATCTGGAGGTGTGATTAGTACTTGAATAATCATGCCCAACATTCATTAGTTTGAGGTGTGATTAACCCTTTGCAGCAAGTACTGCTACACTATTAATTTGAGAGATACTATTCGGAAGGGGAGGGGAAAATAACAGTCTTTTATAGTTTTATAAGCTTCAAGTTTTCATAAATTCAAAACGAGATATCAAAATTCAAAAACAGGAAAACAGAACTCGCAAAACTTAAGTTACCTCACGGGAAATGAAAATGTCAGGAAATCCAAAATCCATGTAAGCTCCATATGAATAGTAGCTGCAAAAAAATTGAATTTGAACTTTTGGGAAAAAAAATATGAACATCCTTAGAAGGATTTTCAACCTTGTACATGATTAAAATTATTTTAGCCAAAAACAAAATAGATCCACGCAAAAAATGTGCCTTAACATTAAGCATGATGTATGAATTATTCTACCAGTTGGAGAGCTAACTAGGGCAGCACCTTCTAGTTAGCTTTAACAATAGTAATCAAAGAGCTTCTTTAAGCACCTAGAAGAGTAAACAAAGCAATATAAACTAATTATGTATACAAAGCAACTGTCTCAACTCTCAATGCAATCATATTCAACAGATTCCTTAGGACATCAAGGAACTACTCATCATCTGTCCATTTTTTTCCCCTCTCCTCTTTCAGTTCCTTGGTTTATCAAACATTATTCTCCATGAACTAGCCTAGACGAGATGCTGCGAGAACATCTTAAAACTATAAAGTTATCAAGGACGAGCCACAAATCAACATAATGGCACCTCATCTGTAGTCCAGAACCAAATCATTTTCATTATTTGTAGGGATGAATGTTCATTAACCCTGCCTGGCCTGAATGCAATGGGTAGATACTAACCAGGATTAAGACCCACGCATTTCAAGAGGGTAAAAGTTCCTCCAATTTGTGTGCATCAAAAGTTCAAAACTACTATTGTGGCTCTTATTTAAAATTTCCATGGGTTTTTCTTGGTTTGAAGCTTGCATTTTATACACATATATGTATATGTATATATGTGTTTATCGTATATAAATGTGTGTGTATATACTGTATATAAATGTATATATACTTGTGTAGTATGTATATACATATTTTGGTGTGTGTGTATTTTCGCCTTTGGGGATAACGCCTCAGACCGCCTCGAGGCTTAAGCCTCACCTCGTTGAGGGAAATGCCTTGGGACCCTATTCCGCCTTTTAAAATCTTGTTTACTACTTAATGTTTTCTAGGATTCTTCTCCAATCCTCTCCCTCACTACCTGTAAGTCACGTTTTACAGGTAATATATTCCTCCTGCATTTTTTTGGAGTAGTTCTGGCCATATACTGTAACTGAATATATGCTAACTAGATGTGGAAGGTATTAACATAATCAATGGAAAGTTGAAGCAACTGAGAACCTATGAAGTGCCTTAAAAAAGCAAAAATCTTGTGACAGATCAAACACATAACCAAATAACTCAATTCATCAGCACTAAGACATTCTACTATACAAAGGTGTGATGTAGAAAGAACAAAATTATTTTCTATCAAGTAAGAAGGTTTGCATTAGTATAAACAAATAAGTATTGCATAACTCGTAGCTAATGACGCTATCATGAGATAGAATACTACCTGTCCGAAGTTACAAGAATAACTGGCATGCACATCTCATTTGCACCTAAAGCTATTATTCTCCAGATCAGACTGTCATGATACATCGATGCAGAGACTGATGAATCATCCACCAAAGCAGCATTTTTCAAGACATCTATATTGTTTATTACCAACTTTGGCTGCAACACAGGCAGAGGCAGGAATGGCAAAAAAACAGAGAAATTATCAGCATAAGCACTAAACACAGAAAAATATCATAAACTTGCCCAACATATAAAGTGGTTCCCTTTTTCACAGAATCCTAATACTACAGTTCAACCCATATTAAGCTTCTACCTTAAGATGCTTTTGTTAACTCAGTTCGGAACTTTGAACTCGACAAGATGCACTAAGTCTACAAAGATTTCAGTACTCACATGTCAGGCTTTAGCAGTTGATCCATAATGGTCTCATTAAGCAGCATATCAGATAGTAGCATGATTAACATGCTTTGCGTCTATAATTTTGTGAATAATAAACGTATTGTGTACCTGAAAGTAATCTGCTTGAGCAGCTCCAGACAACAACTCCAGCAACAAATAAGGCCAATCAGTAGCTGAATTAGCCAAAGTTCTTGAAAACCCACCGGTCTTATTCAAATTCTTAACAGCATTAGCCCTAAACCCTTGTTGAATCCTGAGCACCTCCTTAGCCAGTTTCAAAGCAACCATCCCTTCCCTGTAATATGAAGCCTCTTGCACACTCATGTTTTTACCCTTCTCTCTTAACCCCAGAACTTCATCAATCTCTGTGGCATTTAGTCGAGCAGTTAGCGTGAATACCGCCTTGTCCCACAAAGTCAATGTCGAAACCTTATTGGACAAAATCCTCTTCGAGATTGTCGTTTCCTTGTTAGTTTGGATTATTCTTTTGAGAGATGTATCCAGGTTATGCCATTTTCCAAGAGTTTTGCAAATCTGGTGAGAGCTAATGGCACCGAGTTGAACACCCTTTTCAGCCATGGACTCGAGAGACTGCTCGAGTTGGGTTCGGAGGGTGGGGAGAGATGGTGGTGAGCAATTAGACCAAGATGCCCATGGAAACGAATGGCCGTGGTGTGGGTGGTTATCTTCAATTGACTGTGCGAAGTCGACGTAGCCGGTGACATGAGGCCCCTTGTTCCAATTCTCGAGAAGCCCTGAATAGAAATTAACAAAAATTCAGTTGCAATGATATGCATAACCACAATGAACATTGAATCAAAATTCATACAAGTAGAAGTACAAGTTATTACGTTCAAGGATGAGGGTGGTTTTGCCGACGCCACGGGGACCGTGGATGATGAGTGGTTGATGAACGCGGTGGCGATGAGCGTGGTTGTTGAGGACGGTTTCCATGATTGGTCTTGGTATGATCCGCCATGCTTTGTTCACCATTTGAGTACCTAATTGGGCGTGGATTCCCTGAAACTGATTAACAATGGCGGCGCTTCCGATCTTGCTGCTGCTCCTGGTCTGCTGTGCTGGGCGTGAGCAAGAGGCATTCTTCACTGATTCGATACGTTAAATTGTGCAAAATTGCACCCTCTATTTTGTGTCAATATCATATTCCCCTTTTAAATTCATATATCTTACGGAAACCCCCTCCAACTCAAATACGTAGTTCAAGTATACCTAAATCAGTCATTCTCTGTATTTTAATAGGATTTAAATCTGTTAAATACCGTTGATAACATATTTTTCGTTTAAATAAATGTTAAACATATAATTCAGATGTAAATTTTGTAACGATAATGAATAAATATGTGAAATTGTATAAATTTATCTATAAATTCAACACTATAATTTTTTTAATGGGTAAAATAGACAATTTAAGCAAATTCAGACGTTTACAAAAAAAACAGTCTTATTGATTCAGATTTCAGACTTCAACACCACCTCTTATAAATCATAAGTGAAATAAGACTTCATACTTCAGCACCTCTTAAAAAACAAACGTCATCTTATTCATTTATTTATATATGGTCGTCATTGGCGGATTTAGGGGAGTGTCGGTGGGTATCCATAGAACTACAAAATATTTTCTGCGTAGTGTAATTTTTTACGGTATTTAAGATTAACGCTACCATTTTGTTTTGTTGTATGCTATGATGCAACCACAAAACATAACCTTCTTGACCCGCCTTTAATGGTCGTTTGTATGTCGACTTAATGATTATTCTTGTTGAACCTTCACGTGAAAAATATAACAACTATTTACGGGAAAAGAACAGAAGAAGGTCTTCACAGGAATTACCCGTTCACTAAACCTTTACACCATAATTTAATCTCTCTCGAAAATTTTGTAAAAAGGAAAAATGATTTAACATATTTGGTAATTATATCACACATATATAGCACATACACATACATACACACACACATATGTATATAGGAGAAGGATCGTAATGAGAAGGAAAATTATGGTGAGAAGCGTAAGAAAAGATCTGAACCCTTAAATATTTTTAATCTCATGTTCACTAATAAATTGCACTTTAGAAAGAGAATTGACCTAGTGCATCTTGGTGTACCTCAGAGTGTTGATATTCAATTAGGATTGATCCAAGTGTGGAGATTTCTTTTTACGCTTCTCACTATAACTTCTCTTATCATCGGAACCCAACCACACACACACACATATATAGAGGCGAAAGATTGTGTGAGAAGTAGAGTTAAAGTGAGAAACGAAAGAAGGGATCTAGACCCTTGATCCCTTCTTACGCTTCTCCTAGGAACCCAATCCTATATATGTGTGTGTGTATATATATATATATATATATATATATATATATTATGTTTTAGGGAGATGCATCAGATCAATTCCATTTTCAATCGTGATTCATAGGTGGGTTTGAGATTAAAGGTGATCAAGGGTTCAGATCTCTTCTTACGCTTCTCACCGTAATTTCCTTTCTCACACGATCCTTCACACACACACATACACACACACACACACACACATATATATATATATGTGTGTGTGTGTGTGTGTGTTAAAGATCATGTGAGAAGGATAGAGATCACTTCTTACGCTTCTCATCTTAATTTTTATTTTCATCCGAACCCAACCGTATATATATATATATATATATATATATACATATACAATATACATATATATATATATATATGTATGTATGTGTGTGCGCGCACTCGCACGCAATAAATGCTATTCTTTTGCAAACTCATTGCGATAATTTTGAGAACCGGTGTATCATGTGTTATTTCACATTATTTTTTTCCATCTAACTTAGAGTTAGTGTACAAATTAACATATACTTTGTTTCACAATGTGAATATTTTTATGTGTTCGTAAAACACAAAATTGCAACTAAAAAGTTTCACATTGTAAATTGAATACATATAAAACGAATAACTTACATTAACAGTCTTAGATGGAAAAAAAACCATACAAAACAATAACTTACATTAACAATTCTAACCAGAGGCGGATCCAAGAAAAATTTGAAGTCTTTTGCACAAATAAATTAATACTAAATTTTTATCATTTCAACATTTATGGTTGCACACAACCAAATCAACGGTTTTATCATTACAAATTAAAAAAAAAAAAAAAAACTACATTAATGCAACCGAATCTATGGTTGCATGTGATACCATAGCCAAGCATATAGATCCGCCTCTGGTTTCAACGGCTATCGTAATATACAAGATTCTCACGTGATTAAACCATATATATGATTATAATTCCTATTTTTTTCGAACACAAAATTCCCGAGATTCAAACCCTGAACTAGTCGGATGGAGTAGATACTTTCTTTGTTAAATAAGTAAAAATCCCTCCCCTGTAGTTGCAATGATTTACTTCACGGGCGAAGTCTCTAGTTCAAGTCCAGGATGTGGCCCCAGGGAAAAGAAAATTTCTCTTATTTGATCATCAATCAAATCAACTGGTTATCTGTTATTTGTCTATAATTCAGCAATCTTAAAAGTTACTTTTTTATTTGATCAAATAAACTAAGAAAACAAAAACGCTTTTTGACAAGCTTTTTTATTGCAACAGGTCGTGTGAACTAAAATCCAAATTTTCTTTTTAATAAACGACAATTATTTTTTTCCCCAATTTATAATAAAATTTTATGTCCAACTAAATTACATAAATAATAAAAACCCATAATCCACCTTAATCAATTAGGCATATTACAAGCGTAAAATTCAATCTAACAACTTTTGGAGTTATTGTAAGCAAGACTTTAATCGATTTGGTTAAATATGTTATAAATTTCATTTATTATGCAAATTACATATACTTCAAAGTTACGAAAATAAGACGGCCTACTTAATCCTTTTTTTTTTTTCTATGTAAACACTATTTATTGCAACGAACTTGTAAACGAGAGTATAATTTGATAAGATATTAATGGTATTGGTTTTGATTTACGACTTTTTTGGTAAAAAAACATGTTTTAGTTATTTATTTATGTTATTATAAGATCGGGTTTATAGAACAACCAGTCATTTATATTTGTGATAATGTATTGTTTTATATAATTTAAGTTTATATAATTAAACAATAAAATGTTATGTTCAAAAAATGTTGTAATAAGTTTATAGAACAATTTTTGACGTCTTAATAAGTTTTTTTATGACACTTTTAAAATAACGTATCCAATGAACTTTTTTGTATGGATCTACCTGAAAGTGGGTCCTACAAAATATGTAAACTGTTTTATAAAAACATCTATTATGACACTTTGTTTTGAAATGTTTCTGAAAACTTGTTAAAATGCTGCGAAAGGATTCTATATTTGATTACTACTGTTCTTGCCTCGTCTTGATTTTCATACCAAATATATCTAATATAATGTAACACAGGTACGTATCTAGATAATGGGTTGGGTTCCAATGAGAAACGTAAGAATGGATCTCCATCGTCCGATGCATATTAGGATGAGATGCACCAGATCAATCAAAGATGATCGAGGGTGTAGATCATTTATTATATTTCTCACCTTAACTTTTCTTATCATATGATCCTTCGTCTCTAGATAATAGGAAAGTTTTTGTATCGGATTTAAGAAAAATCATCTCATATATGTTTTTGGGAAATTGTATTAAAAACTAAAAAATTGTTAATACACCCTCATTTAATATATAATTCTAATATGATATTTGTTTTAATAGTCACTACCGCCCATCATCGCCGCCACCAACGACCACCGATAACCGCCACCAACCATCGATGCATACCTCCACCACCTCTATAACCACCGTCGTCCAACAAGCTCCACCGCCCATCACTGCCACCCGTACCATCGTCGACCACCTCCTCCACATCAGTCACAACTACCTTCTCCACCACTGTCGGCCATCTTCACATCATCCATAACCACCGCCTATACTCCACCAATCACTGCAACAACCTTCACTGTACCTCCGCCAGTTCATAAGGATTTTTCAAACCAAATCAAACATAGTTTTTCCTTTGTACGGTTATAGTTTTTTCATACTATCATAATTTATATTGAATTATTCATTCAAATTTTGTACTATCACATATGTATGTATTTATGTATATGAAAACTGTGTAACAATGTTTATAAATCAAGTTATTCAAATATTTGTTTTATTTGCATCATTTATAACTGTTATATATGGCATACAAACTCATCCACTACTAGAAAAACAGGTATCAGCGACGATCCCTCGCAGATCAGCGAGGGATCAGCGAGGGAAATGCCAAAAAACTCATTCCCTCGCTGTTCCCTCGCTGATCTGCGAGGGAAATGCCAAAAAACTCATTCCCTCGCTGATCCCTCGCTGATCTGCGAGGGAAAGTTTCCCTCGCTGATACCTCGCTGATCAGCGAGGGATCAGCGAGGGAAATACCAAAAAAATCTTTCCCTCGCTGATCCTTCGCTAATTTGCGAGGGAAATTTCTTCTAAAAAATCCCTCGCTGATCCCTCGCAAATCAGCGAGGGATCAGCGAGGGAATGTGAATTTTTGTC